TAGCTTTAACCTATCTATTTAAAATGTTTTTGCAGGTAGTTAATTTCGATAATTTGTCAAATATTTAGATAATATAAAAGTAGATAGTAGATAAACATATCATATGTGCGGATAAATATTATTCTTAACTTGATAGAAGTAACAGTTCCAGAGCATAAAGCGCCTTTTATGAAGTTTCGATCGCGTGATTACAAAACAAAAGTGAGCGAATAATTTAAGCACAACTAGCATCACTTCATAGAAAATAAAACGAAGGGTCAAGATACGCGTCCTCCGAGTGTGATTAACTTGATGAAAGACATGGAAATATAATTAAATTAGACTGAGGCTTCGTAAATAGTTCTAAGAATCTCGAGCCAGATCAATAAATGTCTCGTGGCTGCTCAGAAAATTCGCCACACTCAAACAAATATTGTTAGGGTTATTGCCGACCGTTTCTGTAAATAATAGAATGAATGGCCTGTAGCTGCCGGGAGTCGGTGGAGCTTAATCAGGACAATTGGTTGTCAGCCGCAGGCATGTTGACAATCTTGGTAGGTTTATTTCTGGCCACACAACGGATAAACGTAAGTCGTATAGAAGCCAGCAACGATTTTCTCTTGATAAAGGCGGGTCAATACATGATTTGGTCATTGCTCTGAATCTGTTGAAAGGTCAAATGCACAAAACCAAGTAAGATTAACCAAATTTATCGTCCAGTAACTATTTGAATCTGAAAGGAAGCCTGCATTTTAATGATATGCATCAAATTTTATTTATTTATTTCTAATTAGGTAACTTTTGAACTTGGGATCCATTTGAGTTAATTGTTGAGTTCACAGAATTGATATAAAATTATGTATAAACGAGATGGATACAATTATTGTTTCAGTAACTGACGAAACTAAAATTAGACATTTATGATATGCTTGTTATGCAAGAAAGTTTTCTTTTCAAAACAGTTGTCTCCAATGAAAAAAATTCCGGTAATTCTCAGCTGATATAAATGTTAATCAACTAATAAAAAATTGCCTAAAAATTTCAAAAACTATCAGCATACTGTTTCTTTCACACTGGCAAACTTGGGTATTGACTTGCCTTCACACTTTAAAATGTCGAGAACCCCTTGAGAGCGGAGCTTTTCTAATTTATCCAAACCTGAAATTGGATTTTCCCAAATTGTGCCTAATTAAAACGAAAGAGGCTAAGTTATCAGAGCTAAAATAGTATTTTGAGATGAAATGACATATACGAGTGGCATTTTGCTGATAACATGCACTCAAAATATTCACTTTTTAATCCTTTTTGGCAGTTTGTCCACGGCGGAGACGGCGAGCGATTGGCGACATGCATTGATATTTATTTTAAAATTTTCATAAGATTTATCACTATTCTGTGACCATTAACAACTTCGTCCTCAGGTGCTTGCAGTAATAAGTGCAGAGATGTAATATGAGTCTTTTAAAAAAAATATTCTGTTTACTTCTTAGCAACAAACTGTGTTCTTGTTAACAGTTTTTTACAGGATTGAATGAATATCAGTACGAGAGTGAGATATTTTGTTTTCCATATAATTCCCGGATGGTTGACGAGATTATAATGTCATTATATATTCTGAATTTGTATCTGCACATGTTTATTGGTTTCCATTGAACAAATAAAACACCGTACTTTTGATAATATTTATTTTAATTTTTTTGCAATTTGCTATTAACTGATTTTGAGCAGCTTTGAGTGTGCTAACTGTATTGAGTGTGGAAACTTACTTAATTATCTCATCAGTGACAGATCATTTCATGTCAACTCTTCTGGTTCAATAACTGCAACATTTTTCTTGAAAATTACAATCGTTAAATTGTTGTTCGTCAGTTTGATTTTTGTTTTTTTTTAATGATTGAAAGGAAAAATCACCAAAAGATATAATAATTCTTTGATTTTGAACAGTGCTCTTACAGAAAACAATGCCGACAAATATTGTGAAACTTATGAATATTATTGAAACTCAAACTTATTGAGAGTGTTGAAGATCAAACTCATTGAACATTACATTACATATTTAACACGATAGCTTTCGCACGTGTGTTTTCAGAATTACAAAGTTACATTTGATTTGTTCTACTGTTGATGGTTCTTTCAAGCAATTAACTCTTTTAATGCTTGGTTATTTTGTATTCACTTCAAGATTTGCATACACTCTAAGGTACCCTGAACCTGCTTTTGTGTGGTGACTTTCATTGCAGCACTTCTACAAGTTGACTTCAACAGCACACTAATTTTTCCTGTTGAACTCAAATCAATGCCAAATTTGAGCTCCAATCGATTTTGATGTTGAACTCGAATCGATGTCGATCTTGAACTCGAATTGATTTGTATATTCAACTCAAATCCGTGTTTAATTGGACTCACATCCATCTTGATTTAGACTTGAATCCGCGTCGATTCGGACTCAAATCCATGTTGATTTGGACTCACATTTGTGTGGATGTTGAACTCTAAGGCTTTGTCCAATGCATGGCTTCCCTGGTAACCAAGCCAGCTGGGAACGATTGGCCAACATGGCATCATCAAGTCCATTTTCTTGGCTCTATTTGTCTGATTACTCGGGCAGCTGTGGCCAGCTACAGTGACCTAGTAACAACCGGGCAGATAACGCCAACCCATTTGCTGCTCAGTTAATGGCCAATTGATGCTAATTTGATTATCAGTGTCTGCTTGATTGATGAACCAATAAACTCCATTAATACCCAGTTGCTGACCAATCAAGCTCCAGTGATGTCCATTTGATGCCAACCAATTTGATACTTATTCGAGACTCAGTTACTTGCCAGTAAACATGGTTACCAGGGGACTAGGTGTGTTGAGCACAATTATTCACGATTGATGTTGACTTTAAGGTATAAAAAAATTCGAATAGTTTTTTGGAAACTGGAATCGGACTAAATTTAACCGTTTACTTGAAAAGACGTTCCTTGAAATCCTGCTCACGATTCAGGTACATAGGCGATGAATTTTCACGATAGAACCCCAGTATTTACCATGTGTTCGTAAACGTAAGGCTGGAAAATTTAATCAAGAACGTTAAACTGATTTTTTTCCGTAGGATAAACGATCATCTCTATCATTTGAGAATGCCCAATTCTTTGTTCCTTGTCCCACTCAAAGGACGCTATCCTGCGAGGGAAGTCTCAGTCACAGCCCCGACGCTACACCAGGTGTTTAGCGCGCCCATGCAGTTCTGCATCTTGTGCCGGATTCTCATACAAAAATCCAGACGATCAAAATGTTTAAGAAGAAATTGGTATCTAATGTTTCAATGAATTTCGCCAGGCTTACGACAGTCGTATTTATGTTTGAGAATTCGGCCCTCAGTCCCAATTGATTGAAACTCTAGAGATAGTCTCTGAGAGCCAAGCCCTCCCAAATCCCATTACACATATAATAGAGCCTCGTGCACTCTCAAGGCTCATGCGTAGAAAAACATACCTAAAAATTATTTCAAAATTAAAAGAATTTTTCTAGTGACATCTAGCTAAGGTCCCCTTACTCCCACTTCTAGTAAGCGTCGTCCCTAAATACTAGAACTAGTTGCAGTCCCCTAAACAGTCGTGTTTTTTATAAGGAAACGGGAGTTGTTTTAACATGAAATAGATTAGCCTACGTGCATGCCAACTCTATACTAGCAATAATGTGTGTTCCTAACCCTTCTTCTCTTCATCAATATAAGGGAGGTTGAAATCAAGCAACGTGACGTTGCCATTTTGATCAATGTTGCTTGATTTCAACTTTACTGGAGACAGCTATTAACAGATGGCTTGGAAAGGTTCAGCGCAATGACCACATTACCATTATACAGCACTGCTATCTTTACGTGCTTTTAATCAACAAAATCTTCGTTAATGTTGAGATAGATGTAAATAATTTTTGTGCAATAAATGTACTGGGCATAAACAGGAAATATTTACAGGCAATCAAACAAAGTAATTTTTGAATAGCTCCCAAAATAAATACACTCCCGGGCTTAGGTTCAGATTCGATGTTATTTTGGAGTGCATACGGCTTTTAATGTTTCTTAGGTAACACAGTGTTCCTAATACGAATTAATTAACAACCTTACGTCTCAAACTCACTGGCTAAACCAAGAGGACAGCTGATGCAATGAGTCAAATTGAGAATAATGAAAATTAACGTGGACAGCAGGCCATTCAATTGGGATTTCATTCAGGGAAATTAAATTTGGTTTCATCGTGTACGTAGTTCCTGTAAATTGTTCACCTCCTTCCTGACCCCGTAATACAGTGCCTACTACATAATGTATAATACAGCACAAATGGCCTAAACACAGAACTCATTGTATTGAAGTCTTGATAATAGTGACTAGGTTGAGCATATAAATAAATTACGCTCAACAATACCAAAAGTGAATTTAATATCTCGTTGCAAATGTTGTTCTCTGTGTGCGATGAATGTACTCACTTCTTAGCGGAGATTTTCTTTTTGAGAAAATGAATTTCTGTGCGAAATCAAAATTACCTAACAGAATATGACGTTAGTTACAGTCTTTTGCTTAGCGCCTTGCATGTTTGTGGGAATTGTCGTACGAAAGTTTAATCTTTTACTGCCCGAGACGATTGATCATTGAAATGATAGTCGTCCAACCTGTAATATACATTTTCGGGTAGTAAAGGGTTAACTCCTAACAAGGACGTATGTAGAATGACTTGATCGTGGCTTTCGATGTTGTATGTTCAGTGACACAAAGTCTTGATGCATGATTGCGTCAACTGTCGTTGTGCATTTTTACTTTAAAACTTTTTCTATTTTTCTTATTTAATTGAACTCGAACTAATCTCGGTTACTATTGTGTTCACTTTTTATTTCTCCGTATCCCTGTATCATACTTTTGAAATTAGCAAAGACAAATTCAAAAATTCATTTTAAGAACAATCGTCAAATTTCACTATAAGAATTGATAAGGTTCCGAAAATGGGTCGTGACAGAATGGCCATGTTCTAATTCTACAGGTTCTGGCAGTGATCTCCGTGGTCTTCATCATCATGTCCACATTAGCACTGGTTTTGAACACCGTGCCCGCCTTCCAAGGCGAAAACCAAACTGATAGCGAAACTTTGGCAATGGTCGAAGCTGTCTGTATCACATGGTTTACGCTTGAATACCTGCTGAGGTTTGCCGCGAGTCCAAACAAATGGAAATTCTTCAAAGGACCAATGAATATCATAGATTTGTTGGCAATTTTGCCGTATTTTGTGTCACTTTTTCTCATAGAATCAAATAGGCATTCTGACCAATTCCAAGACGTAAGAAGAATCGTACAAATTTTCAGAATCATGAGAATTCTGAGAATTTTAAAACTTGCCAGACATTCGACTGGACTTCAAAGTTTAGGTTTCACGTTGAAGAACTCCTACAAAGAGCTGGGTCTCCTCATGTTGTTTTTGGCAATGGGTGTTCTAGTGTTTTCAAGTTTGTGCTACTTCGCGGAGAAAGAAGCTAATCCCTTATATGGCAGCATACCAGAAGCTTTCTGGTGGGCTGGCATTACAATGACCACCGTTGGGTACGGCGATATTTATCCAGTGACACCGCTAGGCAAAGTGATAGGTTCAGTGTGCTGTATTTGTGGTGTGCTGGTCATTGCGCTGCCTATTCCTATCATCGTCAACAACTTCGCCGAGTTCTACAAGAACCAAATGCGTCGAGACAAAGCGCTAAAGAGGCGCGAGGCTCTCGAAAAGGCTAAGAGGGAAGGCAGCATAGTGTCCTTCCACCACATCAATCTCCGAGACGCCTTCGCCAAGTCAATGGACCTCATCGACGTCATTGTTGACACAGGTTAGTGTGCATTCCGGTGATGATTTGCATTAATAATTACCAACATAAAGTTTTTTGCATCCTTCACGGATTGTTATTTTTCCGGCACGTAAATATTCTCTCCATCCAGGGCGTTGGAAGCGCCGTGGCAGTTGGCATGCACGATTTTGTAATGTCTGCTGCTGTTTTTTTTTTCAATACGAATCAAACCACGGAAATGTATAATGGCTAGCTGTGTGGATGTATGAATCCGGAAAGCATTTTGAATAAATCGAATTGAACTGTGACCTAAAATTTGACTCTAACAGGTCACAACCTGTCCCAAGCTGACGCCAACTCAACTGGAGGGGAGTCGATAGGGCAGGGTAATACAGGCACAGGCTGCTACAGGAATCACGAGCACCACTTCGGTACCAAAGGAGCTGCCGAGAACAAAGATCCTCTTCTTGAGAAGACCAACGAGAAACTCAACTCCAAGAGTGCCGTTGATATGATAGAGATGCAGCCACAGAATTATGGCCGGCCTTCTGGAGCCGACGACAGAGCAGAGGCCGATACGCTTAGTTTGAAAACCCCGGTGAGTTAATTAATGTTTTCTGCAACACCCGTTATCTGTCTTCAATAGCAATGGAAATATTTTGTTAGTATTAATTTCTTACTGTTTTCGATGGAAGTCTTGCTTGTAATAACAATTACTTGCACATGTACATAATTTTGTCAATAAATTACGGTATTAACATTTAACTACATAATGACACCATGACGCGCTGAGTAATCTTGCTTAGTTAACTGTGAAGATTGGCAAAGAGGCTTCTTATTTTCCCTGGTTACTTGCTGATGAATAATTAGTGTTGTCTACCTCAGTATTTTTTATCTGATTAAATACTCATCTCAATTTGATCTGCTTGTGGTGATGTCTGTGAGACTTTACAAGCACTTGCGAAGAATGAATCTGGGCAATTGATAAACCGAAGGTAGAAAATATCAGGCTCCAATTTGTATGTTCGGACTTGACACGTATTCAAAAATAATAGGCTTTGTTTTGTCAGAACTATTTACGCATTCAAAACTAAAAAGCTCCATTATGCCAGGAGATTTTTTGAATCCAACTATAAAAGTTCCAATATTATGTCCCACAGCGGAATGTATTCTTTTCGAACATAGGTAGTTATCGGCTAGCATACTTTGGTTGTAGTTCGATGCGTTTTCTAGTAACCGAAGAATTGATAAAGTCCAGTGAGAACATTAATTATTGACGTAGGGGCCTTACTAGTTGTTGATACATGAAGTAGATGAGGCATTTTTCACGTCCATCGTGCACTTTTGTGGAATGATAGAGATGTGGAATAAAAAGAGGAAATAGTTGCATTATTTGTACAGCTTCATCACCGCATTGAGCACGAGCACTAAACTACGATCATGGCTTTTTGATGTTAAAATCAAATTTATTCTGGGACTGTGTAGTGCTCTAGATAATCCATATATCCCACATGATTTGTATCGACTTCAATTCTTTTCCAGTGGACACAGCAAGTCAAATCTTTTTTCCAGACAACAGCAAATCAGATTTTGTTCAACAACGGACTTTATTTAGCTTTATTAAGTGGAAGTTACGAGATAAAATGTACTGAAACGATCTCAATTTTAAACTCTCATAATTCCATGACCTAATTTCGGTCATTTTTTCAATCATCAACGTTGACTAAAACTATTTAAAAACCAGGCAACTTAATCAGATGATACCGGTACAGAATTTCCGCTGCATGGTAATCAAGAAGTTCAGTCCAAATCCTACACTCAAGGAAGTGAGTGGGTTAGGATGTCACACTTTCTTTACTTAATCGGCATATCCAAAAATTAACCCAATTTTTCGAGCCACTCTCACTTTGTTCAGAATGACCAACAAAATGACAAGTGGAAAAATATGGAATTCATATGTACACAAGTCAATGATTCATCCAAACAGTCTTTCTCACTCACTCACTTAATTGTGAGAACTCATTTATTTGACCAAACTTATGTTCCCATGGGACCTGGTCGGCTGGATCTGTTGCCAGGTCCCATCAGTACCAACAAACGTCGTATATTCTGGCACTTAACCCCGTTCATGTTGAATCAGACGATAAATATTCAACCGTTCATAACATTGCTGCTCTGAAGAATGAAATTCAAATCAGCGATAAAATAGAATTACCATTAGCATTAATTAATGAGAAACTCTAAATAATGAAATGCAAGATGAACACATTGAAGTTTTTTAATTCAAATTTATTAAATAGTGTTATTTGAGGATCTTAAAGGTCATCTCCCAGACTGATCTCGCTCAACCTTGCACAGATAGCAACACATGAAGTCACCTCATTAAAGTAAAAAATCCTCCCTAATCACCACACACGTTATTTTGTACAAATGTATAATTAACCCCTGAATAAATATTTACTTGAAGGGAACACGCGCAACTTTAAAGCCGCTTCGAACGCCTCACAATAACAAAGTTGGTAGCGTGACAGCTCGCTACATCCTCACACAGACTCCTCCAAGCGCGTTCAGCAAGGTAACCGGCACGACTGGTCTGCTCATGGCATCACTTGCCTCATTTACTGCATTTCAATTGGCTTCGTGTGAAATATTAAATCGGCACCCTACATATATGCGTTATTCATTCCGCATTTATGCATTTCCAGCGCAATCATAGATTAATCAATTGACATATACAGTACTAGTCAGATATATTGACCAGTTATCCGGAGCCCTATAGTGCTGTCGTCGGGTTGACACCGACATCACAAGCGTCATTTGCAGCGACTTTCTTGCCCTGCAGCCTGAACTGAAGAGAATATATTATCCGCCGATTTATTGATTTATTTTGAAAGCGGTACACATCAAGGAACTGGTAGCCGTTCATCCGGAACATTCTTTTTCGTTTTGAGCAGAATTACCCGGTAAGAAATTATTGGATTTTTTAATTTGACTGAAGATCCGAATATTAGGTTACTTATACCACCAAACACCTTCATTATTTGCTCACGCAACAAAACCATCTGATATGCCGATGTGTGTTGTGTATGCAAAGGATCATCGTTTCAGGAAATGTAAACAAAAGATTTGGCTCAGGAATCCGAATGTTCTCCTTAAATTCCCGATATTTTCTTCGTTGGAGGTCCATTTGGTCGTTATGACATACTAACTCTTGTAGTTCAAGAGATACATGCAGGGATGATATTCTGATCCTGAGTGAAGCAAGTAAATGTGACTCCCACTCATTTATTTTTATATAAGTCAACCAAGTTTACTATCGAATTAAAAATATGAATTTGACTTTTTTTCTTTTGGGCTTCACAAAATATAGATGGAAAATTTTCACAGGAACATCAAACGTGGTTAACCCGTTTATTTGGTAGTTAAGTGAGTCATTCATTTACAGAGTGACAGCGCTATATCAGTAATCTCATCGGGCTCATATGAATTGGTTTATTAGGAAATTTTTATGAAAGGAAATTTATTAACATATATAGATCTTCATTTTCTGAGATTGGTTTTTCCAGTTTTTATTTGACCAGGATTTTCTCAGTTTTTGTTCGTTAGCACGACATGGTAGGCGGTTATAGAAAGATAGATTTGAGCTCAGCGTCTCCATTCTAATAGTTTACATCCTTATTTAATACCTTCCTCAGTTCATAGTTTGATTTACTAGGGTTGTGAGTACCTCATTTAAAAAAATATTGAACGCTACAGTGGTTCAATTTACATTGTTTCATTTTTAAAGCTTCCTAAAGCTGCTCAAAGAACAGTTCATATATGCTGTATCCTCTTTGCTTTAAACGTTTATAAAAAGCTAGGGCAGTTATAATAAAGTACGGGACGTTGTCACAGTCCCTCTTATGCTCAAGATTTCGCCTTTTATGAGACCTCTCAGACAAAAGCTAGGGATGGCAATGGAAGCGCTTTTGTAATGAAAGGCTACAGCGTTTTTAAAGAAAGTTTTTGCGGCAAGCGTGCTTGTATTTTTGAAGTTTTCCCCCTTGTATATTGCAAGATCCAAGAAAATTAACTTTGGATTTTTAATTCTATAATAAACTTGATTGACTAATGGATTGAGTTAAAGTCCTCAAGGAACGAGTATAAGTCTACTTTCCTCACTCAGGATCAGAATATTATCCCAGTATCTTTTGAACAGCATGAATTTTGGTATCTCAACAAGCAAATAGTCCTCCAATGAGTGCAGGAAATTAACGGGAATTTGAGGAGAACTTTTGTATCCGTGAGCCCAATCTTTTGTTTACATGTCCTGATTCGATGCATATAAAGCAGCAAAATTATTTTTAGGCATAGTTAACCCAATAATTGGGTCTTCACTGACATAAATAAATAATAAAATCTTATAATTTCGTACTGAGTCATATTGCTCAGAATTAAAATGAATGTTTCAGATGAATGGCTACCGGTTTCTCGGTGGGTGCCGCATTACAAACTCACACGCCAAAGAACTTTTACATTACCGATGAACTTTTTATTAATAATTTTATTCTTTGAAGAACTAGCGTGACGGCTTTGTATTTCATAGTTTTATGATTCCATTCCACGAACAACGAGTGACAATATAGAGTTTTCTCATATTGCATTAATTTTATTTATTGCAAATTATTCAGCTAAAATTAACTTTATTACTTCAATATTCTATTCAACATTTCGTTTTCACAAGCGCAAATAGTTTCAAAATTATTCTGTTTTTTGAATTTAATGCCACACTTCATGGACACACTCCCCACTGCACGTTATAACACTCCATGAACACACTTCTGCACGTCATAACAATCAATGAACACACTCCCCTCTGCACGTCATAACACTCCATGAACACACTTCTGCACGTCATAACACTCCATGAACACACTTCTGCACGTCATAGCATGCCATGAACACACTTCTGCACGTCATAACACTCCATGAACACACTCCACGTCATAACACTCCATGAACACACTTCTGCACGTCATATATAGCACGCCATGAACATGCTAATTGAGTGATATTCACGGAAGTAGTGGTCACGATATCACATCCATGCTACCAGTGCACGTCGTCTTTCATAATAAGCAACAAATCTAAGCATCCGTAAAAGTAAGATTGAGATATTCTGCAGTAATCATGATTATACTTAAGAATCTGTCCGTATGGCACAAGCAGGATTCGCAACAGAAACTTTTATTGCGCACAAATATCGGCTACCATTTGCTGGCATTTATGATTAAATATTGGAAAACTTACTTCAAATATTTAAACCTATAATTTTTAATTGATATTTTAATATTTAAACCTATAAATATTTAAACCTATATTATCGCCCATCTAAATATGGTCCACAACTGATCAATCACAGCCGACAGTTGAACATATCGAGTGATAAAAATAAAAATAGAGGATAGGCACTACATAATTTATGTTGCAAAGTAATTTGCAACAGACAGATTTTAAAATCAAGTGTTATTGGTTTTTAAACATTATCACGGAAAGCTTTAGCACGATCACTAATTGCATGCTGCACTTCCGAGTCATAAGCGTGATGCAATGTGCGTTTCTTAGAGATATTTCACTCAGTTAACAAAAAACTTTAAAATTCTTATGCTTTAAAAGGCAGATGAAATGAAATGCGTCTTATCTCCAAATCAACGCTGAAATTAATATTGAATTCTGTTTTGAAAGTTGTACTGTGACCTAAGAATTATTACTGAAGTCGAATTGCATATGCTTTATAAGTGACTAAGGAGAACCTTATTCCCGGAGAGTTCAAATAAATTTGAAGCTTGTGACGATTTAGGACTTGATGAGGATTGCGTTCTGGGCTTATTATGTCGTTTCTTTATTCGTTGAATTGCAAAAATTATTGATATAGACAGCCCCATTGATTATTGTTATTGTCTGCCCTGACAGTCGACTAAGAAGCGACTGCAATAAGAATTGTCTGCCCCGACAGACTGTTATTGTCTGCCCCGACAGACTGTTATTGTCTGCCCAGACAGACTAAGAAGTGACTGCAATCGATCGCCCTATTGGTTATTGTTATTGTCTGCCTAGGACGCCGGCGACGAAGCCTCTGGCGGGGAAGACGTAGCTCTTCGCTACAAACCTTCTTCTTCATAAACTTTATAATCTTAGGCAACTTAAACTCGAGCTTTAACGCACGCACAGGTGAGTAGGGGTCCTAATTAACATGTTTTTAACGTGACTCACGCCTTGTTTCACATTACTGTTTTCTAATTTGTTTGCTGCCACCTGCCCACATATAACATATACTCGCATTGTACAGAATGTGTTTTGTTTTTATATCCTTTCCTTAATAACCTCACAGTTTTAATTTTCTACCATCGTTCTAATTTTCTTCTTGTATTTGAAATATAAAGACATTTTTTATTTCTGGCAGCTTTCGAGAAAAGGTGCTACAACATCTGCTATTTTCAAATAAAATTCAAAATGCACACAGTGTCGCATCTGTAAAATGTTGCTGCGATGCTTGCGGCCGCGGAGAATCCAATAAAAAATCCCGTCAAGTGCCATGCTGACGCTCGTCCTTTAGAAGGAATCTTGACTGATAAATTGGTTGACAAAATACAACCTATATCAGTATCTGCAATCATTTTAATTAGGTTGACGATTCTCATAAGAAATAGATGATTTACGAAGCTTGTAACGGTTCAATGTGTGCTAATTAAGGTTACTGAGTATAAACCAACTGCATTACTTGCAAGTGAATTGTAAATGGATTTTCATACATGGTTGGATTTTTGAAATGGCACAAAATTCAAGAGACGAACTTTACTTTTTAATCCGTACCTGAAAAGAATATATTCCTCGCAAATAACTTTTTGCTTTTCATGTCACTGGCAACTTTGCATCAAAGCATAGCAGTGTGTTTTGTTGTGCCGTTGTTGGTCTACACATCACGCCCCCTGCACAACTCTTTACTTATTATGTTTATTTTGAAGAACATAAGTTATTATATTTTTTTAATCACAAGGACTCCTCCTCACTTGTGCTGCCTTCTGTATACCTGCTCTCGTGTCCATTCCTAATGACGGAATTTTTGCTCAGTTACATTCGGTGTTGAGGCAAGCGAGGTCCGGCTTGCTGCTTCAGCGTCAAATGTAAATAAATGAATCGTTTATTTCGCCCAATATACCTGAGAAATAAGGATATTTTATCGGTACAGTAATTCATTTAAGAATCATGCTTCTAATGTATGTGTTTCTGAATTAAAACTTGACGATTGACAATTTATTTTAAGACCAAAGAGGTGATGTGTATCTTAGCAAAACACTCGAAGAAGACATGTGTTTTGTTGCAAGACTCCTGTATAGGTGCAAAGGTATTCAAGTTAGACCGCGTAAAAGGAGATATAGAGGTTCATCACATTACAAACTTGTTCTCTAGTGATTCATTGCAGTAAATTATTCCTTGTATCTGTTATATCAGCTCAAAGTTTTATCATTTAAATTCATTGACGGCACGGTAATTTTCATTCGAAATTCGAAAAGCTGCAAAAAATAGCTTCAATCATCGTAAGGTTAGAAAGGTCGTCTAATGGCTTCAAACGATCATACTAACTCATCATATCATAGTGTAAAATTATGGAAAAATAATGTAACTGGGGACCACGATTCCTGATTTAACACAAATTAACAAGATTAACAAGATTAAACACAAATAACTTGGAGCAATTGCTTTGATTTCGGATTAAGAGTGTGACATTTTTGTGGGTTACAGGACTCCACTAAATAAAGCTTCAGATCACAGCGGCATTGAGATGGTGGCTTTTCACACTTATTGTTGATAAAACTTTCTGTGTGCTGCATGAGGGTGTTAAGCACGCGTGCTATTTTCCTACACACAATGTATACATCGCATTCGATTATTGCCGATTAGCGTGCGGTGATGGCAAGACTTCATTGTATCGCCGTCGTTTGTATGCTATAATCACCACTTCAACGATGCCCTTTGGGCTGCATTATAAGAGAATTTTTTGAATGACTATGAGTCTTGCTGCGATCTCAAATTTTGACTTCTCATTTACGATCAACGATGTTAAATTCTTTAATACATGTTTCCTGTGCCAATTCCTGACATTTCTGGCATTCATTTCGAGAATCTGGCCGCAAAGCAACTAAAGTGAGCTGGCACTACTGATGTCACTGATGCGTGACCACATTCATAGGACCCGCATTGGTGAATTTCATGTAATTAATTATTACTCAACAAATTTGTAAGCATCGAGTGATTACACCGCGTTGAATTTGATTAGTGGCATGATTAAAGTTTGACTGCCGTAATGTATCTATCCATCCAGCTTATAGCTATAACCCGTTTCTACCTCGCACATGCATCTCTGCTATGACCCACTACAGAGGCATGTCTGTCTTGCATTGGATTCATGCCTCATCGTCTATAATCTGAATTTCTTTGCGCCTGTCTTTCTTGTAATATGACAGCGAGCCGGCAATGGCCGACGCTAGTGTTCCCAGATTGCTCGCGGTTCACGAAAATTTTATAGTCCTGGAAAAAAACGTGACCAATGACAGTCTGAACGATTCCGATACGTGACTTGTCCCGTGAGAATTTGCGCGCTAGTTGACGTCATTCCCCGCGTGCGGTCGCCAGAAATGTCGAGATAAATTAGGAGTTGACCGAGCCAGGGATGCTTGCAGGGTGCCAGAGAGCCGCTGCTTGATGCGGAGGGTCTCTTGAACCAGCACGCTTCCCTTCCATCAACCCAACCTCACGCACCTCCCCTCATACAACTAAAACCACTGAAGGACAATGAGGGTAGCAGAACAAACCTAACCACAGAACTTGCCTCCTTGGACTCCACGGATACCTTTGCATCGTGCACCACCCACATCTTCCCTTCTCAGGCCGACCTCACCGCCGAGACCAACAACGCTCACGATGCCAACATTACCGCAACGCCTAGGGACTCCAACTTATACGTCAACCCGCTCGATGACCATCGGCTTCCTTCTACTCCTCTCATGGCATCCAAATTCTCCCCGGCAAGCTCAACGGCTTCGCCACTTCGCACAATATCCCCCAAGAAACCTGGTCTTCGACCACAAGCTTACATGACTGACATCTTCGATGACACCAGAAGCACCGACTGTTTGTTGGGAGGAAGTTATTCATCACTTCAAGACTCGCCTCTACCTAAACACCGCAGAGCACGTTTCCAGGAGGTACGATATACCTTCTTTCCTTCTTAACTATTTCTATCCGTGTTCTGTTCGCTGGCTGTGTCTTCCCTAAACTTTCTTTTAACTGCAATTTGTATAGCTATGGCTGGATGCGATAAAGTAGTGAAAAAATAAAGTTTGCTTATAAGTAGTATTTGTGTGATGCGTATCATCGTATTCGGACAGCATCATGGTTTGTAGTCGACCTGGAACTAAAATTAAAGTTAACTGAGGGGCTCGCCCGATTGTGGTTTGATGAGTACTAGTAATTATCCTAAATAAACAAGAATTAAATTAGAAACCTTAAATTTGTACGTGCATTAGATTGCTTTACTTATGAAGGCAAAGAATTTTAGGAAACGAACATCAGTTCTTCTCAAGGTCCCTTGACGGGTTACATGGATCCTCCCTAGCTTCTACAACAACTATTATATTCAAGCAAAACTTGACGACGCGCAGGAACGTCAAATTTTTACAGCTCTCCATTACCAAGAAAAACGTGCTGCAACAAATATCAACTCGATGAAAGGAAAGAAGAGGGGTGTTTCTACCATTATTATTCGTTACACGAATCTATATCACCGGCACATATTATTTATGAAATAGTTTGTAGATTTACGCCAAGATATAGCACCTCAAATTAGTTTTTCAATTTTGATGCGTTACAAATAAATTAATTGGAAGTGTTCAATACCCATTAAGGTTGTGTTTGTATCTTGGCGTATTAAAATATAGTTTGCATGCTGTACATCTACAATCAGATATGGGTAGGATCACAATCTTGATTTACAAGGTTTTCTCTGAAATACCTTACAAAGACGATTATGATCCTGCCCATCTCTGAAACTACACTCCAGCGCCTACTAAGGCACGCTCCTTTATACAATATACTTGGTCTTGCACGATTGGCCGAGTCTCTAACGCACGCTCTTGACCAGGTAAGCCTTCTCACCAGCACCACAAAACGTGTTAGGGATCAAGCTTCGCAAGGTAGCACCGCTACTGCACATGGCCATGGTATGGGGCAAACACTACCCGAGATTTACCCCAAGTTCTGAAAAATTATTGTTTTTTACCTGTTAATCATTCAAACTGGAGCCTTTGTTTGGACGTATAACTTTCAAATGGATGAAACGAGTCCCCAATTGCTCTCACTAGTTTGGCTACAGGCGCATTGCTATCCTCGAATGACAGTCCATCAATTCCAAGTGTAGGGTGGTGATTTTTTTAGGCTGCCCTCCACATAGAATGCCCACAATCGTGTCTCATAAACATGTTTCAGTGGCCTCGTTCCTGTTCGGCGTCTCAACTCTTATTGTTCATAATTAATATTGTTTTTGTATTCCTACTAAACCCGAGAGTTTGATGAAACGTTTGTATGGGAAGGTTGAGTATTTCCTCGGTTACGTTTTTTATTAATTTCATGTGAATATGAATCGATTATTTCATTTATTGCGTCCAAGCCTCGATTTTTATTTACATTTATGTCGTTTTTAAGTCGTGTCTGAGACTGATGACTGAAACCGTCTTTATAAACTTATTTAGATCATGAAAATTCTATTCTCTGTATAGCTGAAGTGCCAAGTACCAGAATTGCCAAGATCAATCATAAATATGAATTTTTTGGTAAATTTCATTTTATACAAGTTACTACAGCAAATATAGCTGATTTTACAGTTTGCCGTATGGAATTCGGTCAATATTTTCAGCCCAGTTTGGTTGTAGAAGAGGCACTCAAAAAGAAGCAAAAACGTTCCTTTATGAGCTTCAGGCAGGCGGGTCGCAACATTTGATCACGAAGAGCCAAAAATTTCCTTTTGGTTTACGTCAGTCCGGAGTCGCATTGTGATGGACGTCAGAGAGAACGTACAGACCTCTTTCTCCTTGTTGTTACGTCAAACGGGAGTGTCACACATTATACGGGCCGTTACAGGGTACGCAGGGACCGTTTTCCCGTTTGCTGGAGAAGGTAGACCGAAGCAAACCGGAAAGAGGATCTCTTTCGAACATCTCACGTACCGGTCTCCTGCCCACCTCCACCAACTCCAGTAAGTCCATTTACTTTCTCTGTTATCAACTTCAGTAAGTTCTCTGAAACGATTTCCAAGCGAACTCTAGTAAGTACACTTTAATATTACCTCCACGGACACTAGGAAGTCACTGCAATAGTTAGTTACTAAACGACGTTCAAAATGAGCGCCTCCACTTCCTACTGAAGAACCATGTACGTAATCATAAGTACTGACAATCGCCACCAAACTCATCCCAGTGTTCAAAACTTGAACATCAATTTCGGAGATTTATCGAATGATCGAAGAAAAAAGGTGTAAAACAAAGTAGCTATGAGAATATCGTATCAAATTTGTAGACCCACCTTCAAACATGGAAACGAACGATTTTTTTGCGGCGGAATATTTTCAGGATTTCCAAAAACATTTCGTAAAAACTGTTATAATGTCGTCAAATAATTTAGCAGCAATCTTCAGTCATTGTGAACACCATGAAAGGAAAAGAACCAAATATATATATCCTCGAGTCTTTTACCAACGTCGTACTCAACTAAACGATAGAATTTTTAGTTGCCGATTAGCTTCATATCCTTTCTATAATTTATTAATTCGATCCTTTCGTTGTGGTCCTGAAATTCTAGTACCGGTCCTTAAATTTAGTAGACATGAGGTAAGTTTCGGTCATCAGATGCAACGTCTACAGCTATTTCCGTTCATTATCTGGGTCAAGTATAACAAATAAAAACTGAGATGTGTTTAATCTATATGTACTCCCTCTGTCTAAGCCTGGTACTCTCCTCTTCGGCTTCCTCATTTGCGATTTGAAATTTTTACATGTTTGCTTTCAATGGCTTCATCCGACCGAAACCTAATCCTACTTTTATAAGACGACGGACAAGAAAATCTGGTTTACAGTTCAAATTATTCTTCTGTTTCGGTAGTACTCAATCTTCATGAATTTCCAAGCTACGAAGAATGCTAATATTTTTCTTCTTATTGTGGTTGAACCTCAGGGTTCACATTTTGCACAACGCTCATTGTATTCATACCCCGTTGCGTTAATTATGCCACTGTAATTATTTCCCTTAGCGATAATAAATTCACTGTAATTACACTTCATCTCCAATGATATCTTCGGTTGATGTTGCCAAATAACCCTACCTGCCCCTGAGGGGCCAGCGGCGGCCAACTTTCGTTTAGTATCAGAACTCATGATGATGCAATATGTAGCCAGATTTTATTGAACGTCTTTGCATTCAGAATAATTGTTTGTATCGTAGAATATCAACTAATCATATCTCATATTGTTTGTTTTTGCGATATTGTCGATGTGTTTGACTGTGCGTGCTGTTTCTTTGTTACTAGTCCCAAATTATGTAAAATCTACCCGCATGGAATAAGACTCAAAGTTCAGTATCGTATTCATTTAGTTTCTTCACATCCAGAAAAATTATGAAACTCGAACTAAATTGAAAAATTTGACATTCTACATCATTTCAAAAATTGAACTTTTATTACAATATTGGTTAATATTTATCCTATTATTTTGCTGTCTTTTAAACAATGCATTAAATAATTAAATTTGAATATGAAACGTACATAATTCTGTAAAATTTTAATATCACGGAAGCTTGCCTAATTAGCTCGCGTTCTCCCTGCAGGTTTCAACTCAGGCAAACCATACGTAAGAACTCACACTGGATCCTCTCCACAAAATTCTGATGCCAGAAAATCTATTTTAAAAAACAAAGATCCCGAGGCAGAGCAATTGATCCCTGTTCCAGCTCCTGCAGCATCATCGACAAAAGAGAAGTCGTTCCCTGTAAAATTCGCTTCATTTAGTGAAGAAGACGGGAATGAAAATTACAGAAGACCTCATAAAAAACTACCGACCTCACCAATGCCTAACCGTAAAATCCCAATAGCGCCTCTCGCTGACCTCATGGCCGATTTTGATGGTCAAGAAAGCCGGGGAAATTCAGAAGAAAATCTTCTTAACGACGCCCTGCTCGACCACCAGAATGCAAACACGGTTCTGCGTTGCTCACGAATTAGTTGCAAGCTAAACGCACCGGCATCCAATTCAAGCTTAATGCACGACCCTCTGATGGTGGTCGAGCATCTTCCTGTGTGTATGTGCGGGGCTGCAATGACTCGTATACCTGCTGAATCTGTGGCAGAACAAACTCTGTCCACGTCCCTCACAAATGTCTGCACAGCTGCAGACGCCCATATTTTAAGTACACCAGCGACCAAAGCATCAACAACCGACGAGTCCTGGGATAAGCGCAAGGATTCTTTCTTGCCTCCTCTCCTGCCAATCCCTTCAGAAAAAACCAACGTCGATTCCAATGGAACGGAAGTTCAGGAATTAAAGGACCCGCTTTCCTCTTCCAACCTCAACGAAGATTCCTCTTCCTTTGTGCGCAGAATTCCGTCTGATGAAAGTAAATTGATTAGAAGGTCTTCTGTCCAAGAGCCTACAGATTCATAGATGATGTTGAAGCATGTTGGACTTGCTGTTTACATTTGTTGTTCTCTTATTACGCGAATAAATTTAAATTCTTTAATCAGGAAATATTGTCAGCAATAGGAATATTCTCATTTGTAAAATCTTTATTCTAATCTTTGCTTCCCTATGATATTTCTTAAATATTTAACTATATTACCCACTTTAAATTCTGCAGAAGTCTTAGAGGTGTAGTCAACTAAAATAATCACTTAAAATCCTGATTAGTTTCCGGAATTACATTTTCCAGAGCTTTCAAGAGCAATAATTAACCCCGCTAAGATTCTGCTAAATCGACTTGTATTAAATAATTTGTGCATATCCCGCGAGGTCAAGTTACAACCGACAAAGATTATATTTTCAAGTTATCGTTCACAAGAACCAATCGTAGTTGCAGTTCAAAGCGTTTATGTCTGAAAAAGTATATATATGTATAGTTTGTACTATCAATATGAGACAAAGTGTAGTAACAACCCTAAGTTATCAGTTATAATGCTGGATAGGCAGCACTAATTCTAAGTCGCTGAGATCGCCTTACAAAAGCCAGGGCGAATTTTTCCTCTATCCGATCACAATTACGCATTAATTGTAAAGAAGAACTTCAAGTGGTTAATAGATTGATCTGGATTTATTAATATGATTATAATGTAACCTAATTTTCACACAGCAAACCTCCACAACAGCTTGATTCCTGTCATAGCGAAACTTTATAAATCATCTTGCTTAGCCGATAACATTTTTCAACAACTAAACTAGAATCACGACACGTCGTACCTTAATAAAACGAGTCTACGTTGGTTTCATTGCAGATTCCCCACGCGTGGTATTTTCACTTGATGCGCATCTATTTTCGTCCAATTGTCCTCTAAAAGAATTAGTTTAAGTAGTTTGTTAATATTCACTTTGCTTAATGCCTAAGTAGAAGCTATTCTGTGATGAACAGTGAGTGTATTGGCAGAAGTGTTTCGCCAAGGTACGTTTAGGCATCGCTGAAAAATATGATTATTTCAATAATTTTTAAACATGCCACAGGGTACCGCAATGGTGGTGCATTGACCAACTGAGGCACAGTAATAATGGTGATCTTTACCTTCAGAAACGTTGAAAGTAACAGGATAGGATCATTTGTGCAGTAAAATTAAAAAATCAATGATGATTCCTTTGTAAAAATCATTGCAATCAAATAATTATTATTCATGGTGAATGAAGCAACAGAACTTGGTGACTAAAGTGATTTTGAAATGGAAAAGAGATGAAGTCTCTTTGGTTATCATTAGAATAAAACTAAATTAGCCAAAAAATAATTTCATATAATTACAAAAATGTTCTTATCAGATAAACTGAAATAATTTGCGAATAACGAATGACCAATGATGGAAGATGTCAACTTAATTGTTGTTATAAAATAAACTACCGGACTTCGAATCACTTGCGCCCTCTGGCGAGTTAAAAATGACAACGAGACTGAGGGAACACTATTTGATTTTGCAGCAGTCGCACACGCTCGAAAACTTGATTTTGACCAAATAGCGCAGGACGACTTTGAAAGCTCGCATAATTTTAATGTATACACTAATATAGGCGTGACTGCATGTCACTGAGTATAGTATAGGTCGTGTGACAGTTCCAAAGACGAGTGTCGGCAATTGTCTTGCTGACGTCATAACGGAGCACCGAGTCGAAAATAGTAGTATTAAAAAAGACCTAATTGAAAGTGACGCTGCAAATCATTCCAATGTACATGTAAAGCTGTTGAGTACTGTTTGAACTCTGCTAATTCATCAGTACTCAGAACCTTTCTACCGTGTGGGAATTATTGCTACGGACAACCTCAGTGCTCCGTTCATAGAAAACAATGCATTAGTCATTTTAATGTGGTTAGAAAATAAAAAAATTGATTTTTTACAGAATTATTTGCGAGAGTATTACAAATAGAAGAGTTCAGTTCTTTGATATACTTTTCTAAATATCTATGTGCTGTGAGCAATTCTATAGAATGTCTTTTTCCCGTGTTCTCGTCCTTGTTGATCGTTGCGACGCTTGTAGCTCAAGTCGTTATGCCTGCTAAGAAGTTTGGCCGTTGCTACTGGGAGACGCGCGGGCACACACATGCTTCAATGTTCTATTCCATCGACAATTAAAGTGCATAATCAAACCAGATAGGCTAATAATGGTGTGGAATTTTTTTTCTGCAGTATGCTTTCTCATGAACTTCTACAAATTTTTTAGTAATTTCAGTGATTGAGTTGTTTTTACGAAACAAAGAGGAAATCAATCTTTTTTAAAATAATAGAGTCACTTGACTCTATTTTAATAATGGACTTGTGGAATTGTTATAAAACTCACCAAGTGATTACCAAGATGAGTCTTTAGTTATCTTGGTATCGGTAATGGACTATCGACACCGTTACTTTATATTAAAGTAATGTGTGACTTTTAGATTCAACTTGATACGCCCATGCACTTAGCTGTTTTGTTTGTCATTTTTCATGTGAGAATACAAACAAAATTTATTTTTCCACTTCCTCTTGATTCGTCACTGTCCAATACCTACTTCAGTTTTTGTCCACTCATTCTCTCTGTCAAGTCTCTTTCTCTTCTTACCCACATTCTCTGTCTAGTTCCTGTTTCCGTATTCCCCCGATCTCTGGTTATTGCCTGTCTCTGTTTCATCCACATACCCAGCCTCTCCCGTGCGCGCCGCTTTGCCTAACGTTACGCTGTTGATAAAACACTATGTACCAGATTTCTTAAATGATTACTGCACTCGCATGAAAATTTTCTTATTAGCTATAAATTTCTACGAGAGACATAAGATAGCAATCGTTATTCTTAACGATCGATGGACATATCATCCCTCGAGAGTCACACTCATTCAGATTTTTAGTCGTAAGAAAATAGTGCTTGAATATAAGGTCCTCTCAATTACACTTCTGCCTATGTGCATAATTTCTTGGCTTTAAAATTAATATATTGGAGATCTCTTAGCCCTCCGCGCACGAACGTTGAACGCATTTTCTCTCTCCGCTTGCCTTGCATCACTCTTATAGAAATACGCTTTACGTCTTTTTGTATGCATCACTGCGCTTGCAAAGGCAGGTTTACACTCTTCGATTTTTTTTCTGTGTACGTGTTGAGTCAGTTAAAGGTGATGTGAGTGAGGTTCATGAAGGTAAGGGCATTGTAAGGTAATGTAAGTGAAGGTAATTTAACTGTTGATGAAAGTCATGACGATGAAAGTCATGAGTATGAAAGTCATCTTGATATTAGTGATGATTTTAGCGAGGTTGAGGTAATTGGGATAATGTAAGTGACAATGAAGTAATTGAAGGTGATGTATGTGACGATGGCGTATGCGTGAGAGATGTGCAATGTATTAACTTTAACTTGTTGAGCATCAATTACAGTTATTAACTTGAGATTTATATTATAATGGACTTTCATTTACCTTCTGATGATCAGGCTAAATATTCGCTGCAGGAACTAGAATGAATGTCTCGGTTATTGATTTATGCCCCGTACTTCAATTGGTAGTCAAAATTAATTTAGTTCAATATTTAACTAAATATTTCGTTACTTTCTAGCTTTAAATATTGAATATTGTTTACAAAGAGGAACGTCCGATTGGAAGGAATTACAATTGCAACTCAAACGAATTATTTTCACGCACAAACAATTGATGCAACGCCAAGAAAAATACTAAAGAAAATAAAATTCCCTTTCGTTCTCACTCTTAATTGTACAAAAATTTCAACGAAGAAATATCAAGATTTTATTAGTCTAGGTGAATGGTAGTCACTGTAATTTTGTATGGGCATAAACAATCGAATGAACTGCATGGATTTCGAAGCTCCAAGACACGTACGACAAACAGATGACCAGGAGGATAATAACAGTCATTTACATTTTCATTATCTAATTTTATGCACGCAGTTATTACAAAAATCCCCGCTTTAAATAATAAATGCACAAGAAAAGCAGGCCTAGGTGACATTATTCCCATCAATGGCGTTCCGACATTCAGTGCGCTGTGATGATCTCTGAACCTCTAAACTAAGCCTTTTAACCATGAGATGTGCGATAATGGTGAACTACTCCTTAATTGATCATGTTGATTTTTTTATTCTTAACATACTGCTGAAAACACACTCACATAAACAAATGTAGGAAAGAAAAAAAACAAGCTGCTATGATATTGTGCCCACAGAAAAACTCTGCGGATTTTGCATCGAAGATTTAATTATCTTTCCGCAAGCGAATGTAGCACGGCTTTGTCCTGTGTACCGAAATAGTGGAACGCACTAAAGTGGTCTTACTTGGGAGAAGAATTGGAGCGAAATTGGACCGTTAAATTCATTGAAAAAATTTTACGATATTATTTTCTCAATTATCTTTTTGAAACATTGCCATAATAGAAAAATTAGCAATAAAAAAATGAGAGCATACATAGTTCCATGAAAGTAATCAAAACAACATCAGGGCATAAATTCAGCTTCTAAACTCTGAAGAAAACACGAGGAAGCAAATGCAGGTTATAATATCTACATAATAAAAATGAATAAGAAAAGTAATCATTACTAAATTCGAATCATTAATTACCTGCAGATGTCTTGTCAAACCGTTACGTTAATCTGCCTACCATGATAAACAATCGCAATAAAATCAATCTAAATATATTTCGATGCACTCGCATCGAAAGTGCGAGCACATAAATCGTGAACCGTGCTACGATTGGGTGAACACTCCCTTCAATTTTTGTCATACATACACTTGAAAAACTTAACCAGGTATTCTTCTATTTCTGTATTATCCTCATTAGGAAACTCATTCTGAGACAACCAACATTAAGGAAGTTTTGCATGTTCTACTACTACAACAACAATACAAAATATCATTATTGGCAGCATTGGCAAATGACAGTAATAATAAAGAAGGAAACTTACAATTAACATTTATAAATAAAATATATGGTTCATCGATAAAAAATTTGAGACTAAACATCAGTTTTATTAGCCAGTTGGTGAATTTCATATATATTTATTGAGCTGGCAACATGTAACTCGTTAGATGGCACCATGTAACGTGTTAGCGGGTAACATGCAACGCGTTAGCTGGTAACATGTAACGCGTGAGCTCGGCTTAAGTCTAATGCACTCACCATGGCCCGAGAGATGAGATGGAGCTGTGGGCGACGGGATATTCACAGTCCTGGTGAAGTTTATATATTTCTCTAGAGAGAATTTAGACGCTGAAACTTCTGACACTGCATAATTTGCTGTTTGTTAATTACGCCTTCAGAACCATTCACTTCAGGTGTCTTGAAACTGATGAGAACCTGTACACATCTCACATTCTAATTTAATCCTAGTACCGCTGCAGAATATGCTTCACTTTTTTTATTCCGTTTGCCGATATTTGTAATTATTCATAGCTTTCTATGGAACTTTGGCTGAACAAATAAACACGACGAATTTCACACGACAGTGAAATATACAGGGAAAGAGACACAGCAATCACTTCCGCCACACAAATTTCGCTTAAGCGAAGAGTTGCTGATACCACAAACGACTTTGTGAATTCGGGACTTGAGCAAATTTCCGCAAATTTCCTCCTGAAAACATTCTCGATGTAATTAGCGTAATACGTAAACACAACGAGTTAAGTGAGAGAGTAAATTGAACAAATTTTAATTGGGTAGACTGATTTGCTTAAATTGATGGCCATTTCATAAGACCGCCGCATCGACCAGTACCTAAGAGGCTTAGTAACATGAGAAGCAAACTTGAGCTAAGTCAACAGAAATTAGGACGAATTCTAACATTTATCTTCCCATGGTAATCCCTGGACCTTGAATAAATTGGCCATGTCGTATATTAAAGGAATTGGAAGCTAACGCCAGTGAAGGAAAGTTAATCAAGAAACTAAGAAGAATTATTGAGAGAGTATCTGTCTCAACAGTAATCCTTTCAAAGGTTTAATATCATCGTCTATGACCACGTGCCACTTAAGAAACTCGAATGGAATGCGTGTGAGAGGCGAATTGTATATTTGTAAGGATCTCCCATCATTGCAAACGACAAGGCCCTACGATTGCGAAATGTAGAGTTGATATTTTCAATGATAAAAGAACATAATCACAATTACCCCGCAGATTTTCAGCAAAGAATACGTGAAAAACATTCTAAATAACAACGAAAACAATTGCGAAAAAATAATATTTTTAATAATAATATGTTTAGAATATATTCTTATATAGAATTTAATAAGAATAATATTTTTCGCAACGAAATATAATCGCGATATCAGAGTTTGTGAATCCTGCATTGAGCAGCAGCAGCGGCTGCTCTCTCGCTGGCGGGGCGGTCGCCGCCCTCAGCAGCGCAGCTTTAAGTCTGGGTAGCGAGCAGCGAGCTCACTTGCCCTTAGAAGCCTCAACTTTCCTTCAATAATTCAGCATAAAGAGCAATTATTTGAGGAAAATATTCGATGCTCGAATACCTCGGGAAGGACAACGATGCCAGTAAGTATTAGTTACGATTAACTGCTACAAGTGCGACGTGAGCGGTGAGTGTAATTGACACGTGTAAAATTAGGACGAGATTTTCAGCGTGCAAGTAAAATGCTTTGAAAAAGTCCTACTAAAAGGTTAGTTTATGTTTATTTTTATATCGATTTCTAAATGGAATAAAAATATTTGGTTCCGTGTCAGGCACCCATAAAATTTTTAATCCGCCTTGCCCGCTTCCTGCCAGTGAAAGTAATTTAGGAACCTCGCATTCTTTACGATCAACGTAGCGCTTCAGAGCATATGGCTTTTGGAGTACGGCGCTCGGAGGCAGTCATTTATAACGATTTAGGAAGATCTAAGATTAATTAAGATGAAATAAAACGAATCTCTTCTGTCCAGAATAAAAATTTACTGATTTTCTCCTAAAAATATGGAAAAATTCAACGAATACGAACTAATGCTTTAACTATGGAAGTAATAAAAAGAGAAGAAACGAGTGAATTTAACTATACGTCGTGACATGATCGGCAAGTTCCGCACTAATGGTTTCTAGTAAAAATTACACCTAATGACATAGGCCCTTCCCCAGAGTCCATTAGCATTGAATTTGGGTCGTGTCCAGGTCACTAGGTTCTAAAAATAAAAACCATTAGCGAGGAACCGTCTGGGCGAAATGACCGCAGTGCGGTCGATGATGCACTTTACTTGAGTACTAATAAAATTGCTGAGTGGAAATAAGAGCAATTCACTATATTCATTTTAAAATTTATACTAGTTCATGCAATCAAACTTAAAGCTACGAATTTGGATATTTAAGAGGCAAGGATGAATGCAGGAATTGATTAGAAAATAATTTTGAAAATTCATTTCCATTCCTCAGTACTATTTTCTAGACTCACCATTTTCTTTCAACTATCGAAACATATTTAGAGGATGGACTAAAAAATTCTGGAACACACAGCCAGACGTACAGTAAGGATGGGTTTGGCAAACAGAAGGAAGCGCTAAGGTATCTAGTCACACTTTACAAGAAGCGGTAGCTGGTAATAAAAAAGTGCTATCGGTCACTACAAAGTGCAGCAGAGGAGACGACTTATGACATTTGCTGTGCAACATCCAAGAAGCGACTGGCATGAGAGCCTCCAGCCGGACACCGCCCGCCAAGATGGCGGAGCTTCCAGCCGGCCGCCACCTCCCAGCCGCTCCCGTTCTCTGACTGCATTTTATAAACGGCTTCACACTCGTAAGTGAATGAGTACATCGTTTGCTTGGTGGGAGCCATTATATTATTGGTTGTGAAGCTGCAAGGACATTCATCCACAGGCACACAACTTGCGCTATATTTCATGACAGCCCCTCTAATTTTTTGGGCGAAAAATTTGAATTAACTTGTATCGTGCGATGATCATAAATCAGTGTTTTCTTCTAAACGTTGTGATTGCACCCAATTGTAACAATGTTATTCATACTGAAATTTTACGTTTACGTGCGTGCCATCGTTATAGATGGAAAGATTTACGTAATTAATTACTTCGTTATTAACATAGGCGTTCTAAGTCCCTTTTTACTCTCAAATGCTCCACCTGCTCTAATGCTACCACAGTCGTACACTGGATGGACTGCAAGGACTCCTTCCTTTACGTGACACTTAGCAGCGCACGCGAGGGCGGGGCTGCTGGACCAGGGCGCGTGCGGCCACTTTTGTCGTGTTGACGTGTTGTTGCTTGGTGTTGACGTGTTGCAGACGTGTTGTTGCTTGGTGTTGACGTGTTGCAGACGTGTTGTTGCTTGGTGTTGACGTGTTGCAGACGTGTTGTTGTTTGATGTTGACGTGTTGTTGTTTGGTGTTGACGTGTTGTAGACGTGTTGTTGTTTGGTGCTGACGTGTTGCAGACGTGTTGTTTGGTGTTGACGTGTTGTTGTTTGGTGTGGACGTGTTGCAGACTTGTTGTTGTTTGGTGTAGACGTGTTGTAGACGTGTTGTTGCTTGGTGCGGACGTGTTGTATCCTCATTTAATTAGTTAGTATAAACGTATTGCGCTTTTAACTAAATTGCGTTAGCCGTAAACACATTTTCATGAGTTTAAGTTGGTTGCTGAACTATTGTTTACGCGAGTAAGTTGATTGTTGACTCGTTAACGCGGTGCAGTAAACTGATGAGGCAGGGTTAACGTTGAATAATTCTTCATAACGTTGAATAATTCTTCATTTATCCTGTGGTTAATGCTATTGGCGGTTTTTCTTATAAATATGAGATTCTGGAGTAATAATGCATTATGACCTAACATAAGCCATATTCATTCTTCACTGCCCGATTCATTTCACATTTCAGGTCGGAATTTCACTTTAAGCACAGGAATTGCGTTATTTCTGTAGACTGTAAAGGAAAGATTGAAATTCAGGTCGCCTTCGCGTGATAAACTTGGGGGTGCATCTATTCTTTCATGAAGTCAAGAATAAAACTGAAATAAAACAGACTTAAATTTCTCGGACTTAAAGTTGGTCATAATTATTATAACTGGGATTGATAAAACAATATTGTGCTGCTTAGTCAAGATTAGGTTTCATCAAGTCGGGTGGGAAGAGCATTAGTCAATCAATGCGTCTTGGTTAGGGTTAAGTGGGTAAGTGTACAATAAAAGTTAATATGAGTCATGCACATAAGCTGAGTACACATTAGCTATATGGCTACGGCCATATGCTTCATTAACCATCAAAGGGCGCAGCTAATTAAACAACGACGGCGCTGATCAATGGTGCCGCTTATCTATGATAAGTGTTATCATTGACTCCTTGTATACAATCATCGATCCAGTGATGATGGCACTCATCTCTCCGACCAATCCATATCCCGCTGTGGCATATGCCGAGAATTTAATAACTAATACCAGTCCATATGCCGCTGTGGCATATGCCGAGAATTTAATAACTAATACCAGTCCATATGCCGCTGTGGCATATGCCGGGAATTGAATAACGAATACCAGTCCATATGCCGCTGTGGCATATGCCGGGAATTGAATAACGAATATCAGTTCATACGCCGCTGTGGGGCTGCGGGATTAGAATAACGATCATAGGATGTACATGGATCGATCTTAGGATGATCCTATCCTAATGTTTATTTTATCCTTACAAGGTATTTTCTGCCGGTTTTCAGTCGGTAAGGTAATGCTTCCGGTAAGGTGAAGCTGTGAGAGGTAAAGTATCATAGACAAATGAAGCAGGCCACGTAAGGTACAGCAGTTGCAGGTAGAGTGCAGGTGACAGATATGCAACAGTGACAAGCATTGCGGTGACACATGCAGCCGTGACATAAACGGTAAAACAGATAAGGTACAGCAGCAACAGGTGCTGCAGCACTGCACGAGTCGCCGCTGGGTGTGAGCAACAGGTGCAGCAGCACAGGTGAGGTGCAGCAGCACAGGTGAGGTGCAGCAGTACAGGTGAGGTGCAGCAGTACAGGTGAGGTGCAGCAGTACAGGTGAGGTGCAGCAGCACAGGTGAGGTGCAGCAGTACAGGTGAGGTGCAGCAGCACAGGTGAGGTGCAGCAGCACAGGTGAGGTGCAGCAGCACAGGTGAGGTGCAGCAGCACAGGTGAGGTGCAGCAGCACAGGTGAGGTGCAGCAGCTAAGTAGCACAGAGGCTGCCAAGCTTTTCAATGTTTTTTCGCTAAAACAAAGATGCCGGCAGGGGGCGGGCGGCATTCAGAGTTACGTCGTGGACGGTCTGCGTAAATTCCTTCGTGCTGGGGCCTGTGTGTACGATTAAGCACCTCAGTAGCACTTTCAAATGTAGGTGAGCTCAAATAAAGTGATATTTACACATAATAAGATAATCTTATAATCTGGTACTTCGAGCACAATTTACACATAACAACAGGTCTCCAGTCCGTAATATATAGAGTAAATCCATTGGTTAAATTGTAATTGTTTGCATAATATAACAAAAACCAGACTGTTAATGGACTGTTTGCAGGCAGAGGGTAACCCACGCCCCGCCATCAAAAGTTGGATGCTCATGGCCCGTGAGATGACGAAGGTCAGAGGCGGTGCCAAGACGACTGACATCTTAACGCATTCTGTGTTGCCGTGTGTGCGTGTTGTGGCATACCTAATGTATAACTATAGCTGCACGGGGTGGTTATTTTTGGCTGAAGAGTAGCGTGCCAAGAACAGCGTGCGATAAGAGTTGTTCTTCAGGCCTCAGCGAACTAACGGCGGCACGCTGGTTAATAGAAATGCAGCGAACGGTATGCTGGGATTCTCGGAGGGAACATCTTATCATCATTTGAAATCGTTTACTGAACGTTTATTTTACGGTAGACGTACGTCTACAATAGATATAAATAAGGTGATGTTTTTAAATTTTACACCGATTCTGAATTGCAAGACGAAGGTAAGCGTCAAATCAGTCGTGACTTTTATTATAGTGTCGGCAACTGACCCTAAACCTTTACCACGACTTGAGACAGTTGTGGGAAGTGTCTGATTTCGTTTTGTCTCGGCAAATGATGGTCATGCGTCTCTCCCCTATCAGAGGACTTAAGATTTTCGGGTGTGCAAATTACCCGCAATCATAAGTACTCACATTTTTAGTGGATTGAAGCTTGAGTACAATGTACAAGTACAACGGGTACAAACTA